GGTCTTACCAACAAAATGGAAATTCATTTGCTAGCCTAAATCTCCCAGGTTTGACATCCTTAGACCTCATCAACTTTGAGGTTAAAAAAATCTCTAAGAACCCATAAAGCTCAACTGGAATTGACATCCCTCCAAAAATTTATCATGGTAATTTAAGATATGTTGGTTCAAATGTCTGATCCCTAAAAGGTGGATAACTCCAATTTTAAACCAATAGATGACCTATGTACCTTTAAGAAGGCACATAGGACAGCTTCAATTATGTATCTGCAGCTTTTCTCTAAAAAAGTCTAGAATGTATATGAGAAGAAAATATTTGCTGTTGTAGATTTTTTTAAATTTAAGTCAACATTATTGTTCATACACAAAAGCTATATCTGAGTTATCTGAACATGGAAGTTAGTTGAATCATTAATTTATTCTTCATGATTTATGGAAAATGCCATTAATAATGTTAAATTTCTATTTTATTCTGTTTTTTCTATCTTCTATTTATTCTATTTTATTCTGTTTATAATATTCTACATTACAAGGATCCACAAATTAATTAGCATAGGTAAAATAGGTAAAAAGAGGGGACAACCATGTTTTTTCCCTGTCATGGCCTGGGGCAATAGTCACTCCCACAGACAGTAACTGAGATTTGCAAGCTTTTTTCACAGAAAGCATTTGGTATTGCTATATATGACCTCCAAAGAAGGAAAAGTGAATTGGTACTCTCTAATTTCTTCTGGCCTATTGCTTCGGCCTCTTACAAAGTCTAAGAGCCCTGTATGTGCTGGAATAGATGCTTAGTAAATGCTTGTTGATTGCCCGAGATGAAAGAACAGCCTGACCCTGGTTTCACTCAGCCCTACTGGACTAACTTCAACCAACTGGGAATAGATGGATGTCATCACAGAGTCAAATGCACATTGGCATCATCTAAACTCTGTATTTCCAGAGGTCAGTTTACTTCTGGTCCACCTCTGTGGCGCAAAGATTAAGACAGCTAGGTGGTTCAATAGATAAAGCATTAGACTTCAAGTCAGGAAGATCAGAGTTTGAATATTCTCTCAGACACTTGCAAATTGTGTGACCCTAGGCAACTTACTTAATCTCTCAAAACCTCAGTTTCTTCAACTGTATAATAGAGACAATAATAATGTCTACCTCAAAAAGTAGTTGTATGACTTAAATTGGCATATAGATAGTGCTTTGCACTTTGATAGATAAGATGTACACATAGATTACATATAATTAATACATATATATGTACATATATATGTATATACAGAGAGAGAGAGAGAGAACTTTATAAAACTTAAATCATTACGTAAATGCTAGCTGCCTGAAGATAACTAAAGGATTTGTATTCACTGAAGAGCAGGCCTAGAGCCAAGAGTTCCAGCCCATGCTAGAACCTAAAGTCAAACTGATCATTTGAGCAACTGAGCAAACATCATAGGGCAATCCAGTTGTAGAACAAATTCCTGGAGGGCCAGAGAGGGGTTGTTTACCCTGCCACCATAGACTGAATCCAGAGTCAGAATCTCTCTCGAAGTATGATGTAAGAAAGATAAAAGGATTGTTGTTATTTGTCCTTCGTTCTTGAAGAGGACCATGACATCAGGAAGGTGATGCCATGACTTGTAAGTGAATTGGATTTAAGTGAGGGAGGGTTGTGCAAAGTCACCAGCCTCATTTTTTCCTCTGGAGCTCTCTGGGAGCAGTGGCAAGATATTGATCAGGATAACTGGAGATGGCCTCCCCAAAAGTATCAATCAATTGGAAAAGGTTTATTGGGTACCTACTCTTTGCTAATTACTATGCTAGGGACCATGAAGAAAGAAAAGGATAAAACAGGGTCTCTTTCCTCATTCTTCCCTCCCATTCTGCTCCTTTCCCCAGCTAAAAGCATACATTCTAGTTATGGAAGATAAGATATTTTCCCATGACAAGGTAATCCAAGGCAACATATAATAAGTGGCATATGAGTGGCACAAATCAGAGGTGTAAAACATGGCTCATGGGCAACATGTGGCTCACAATATTCCCAAATGCATCCTGAACCAGATTAAAATGCCATTGGGAGATATTTAACAAAATAAATTTTAAAAACACAATAAAATATGGATAATGTTAATGTGTGGTTTTCAAAGTCAACATGAGACTCACAGGGATTTTTATGTATGGTTTAGTGGGCCCTGTTTCTATTTGAATTTGATACCACTGTATAGATGATAGGATCCTAGATTCAGAGCTGAAAAAGACCTTAGAGGTCATCTAATCCAACCCTTTTATTTTATAGATAAGGAAACTGAGGCCCCTAGAGGCTAAGGGATTTATCCAAAGTCATACAGGTAGTAACTAGCACAGGCAGAATTTGAACCAAAATCTACTCCAAATCCAATGTCCCTGCACTGTACCGTGCTACATATTATTAAGTGTTATAGGAGTTAATAGTGTAATTAATAGTCCAAAGTAAAGAGAGATCACTTTAGGCTAAGGTGGATAGGGAAAATAGAAATGATAAGATTTGAGCTGGGTCTGGAAAAGTGGATAGGACTTAGCTATGTAGAGAAAGGGAGCGGATGGGGAAGCATTTCAGTTTAAGGAAAGCCTATGTAGAAAATTCAATGTGCACCGGGTCATGGAGACAGCTAGATGGAGCACTAGATAGAGGACTGGGCCTGAAGTCAGGCCTGAATCCAAATCTGGCTTCAGACACTTACTTGCTGTGTGACTCTAGGAAATCATTTCACCTCTGTTTGCCTCAGTTTCCTCAACTGTAAAATGAAGATAGCACCTTCCTTGAAGAGCTGTTGTGACGATTAAATGAAATAATCTTTGTAAAGCCCTTAGAATGGTGCCTGGCACATTGTAGGTACTATATTAATGATGATGATCATCATTACTATGTTATTATATTCCTGGGGACACTCAGATCTGTCAGACATGCTAATATTGTTTTCTGCAAAGGAGCTAGCATCCTTGATCCCTTTTTTGAATCTGTTCATATTAATAATAAAGCATTGCCTGTTTTCTGTCCCTGCCTATCCCAATCATCCATTGGGGAGCTTTGTAGAGGCAATGATATCTAAGTTGTAATACTGATAAGTGATCCCAGATAAAACTTCCTACAGCCCCCTTCCATAAAAATGTTGGATAACTCCTACTGCTAAAATATTCTTTCTGGTACCTAACATCACAACTAAATATTTCAACTCAATCTCATAAGGAATGCCTTTCCAGAACTGATCATAAAGAGGGTGAGGGTCTAAAGCCTAAAGAGCTAATTTCAAAAAGTCAAATTAGATTTTCTCTGATAGATTCTTCCCTCCCTCTGCCCCCATTTCTAGCTTAATTTTTCTTTCTTTCTTTTTTTTAGCTAGGCAATGGGGTTAAGTGACTTGCCCAGGGTCACACAGCTAGTAAGTGTTATATGTCTGAGGCTAGATTTGAGCTCAGGTCGTCCTGACTCCAGGGCCAGTGCTCTATCCACTGCACCACCTAACTGCCCCCTAGCTTTATTTTATATAGTAATTTCTAGATGATCAGAGATCACAGGATTGAGAATTGCAAAGACCATGAAAGATCAGATAGGTGACACAGTGGATAGAGTGCCAGGCCTGAAATCAGAAAGACTCAGTTTCCTGCAGCCTCAGATACTTACTATTTGACCCTGAGCTGACTGAACAGCATCAGCAAAATAAAAGATCATCCAAGATAGCCCAATCATTTTTATGAGTGATGAAATTAAAGTCTAAGAGAGGTTGTGATTTGCCTAAGGTCACACAGATTATAAATAACAGCAAAAAGATTTAGGATCATGTTCAGTCATTTTTCAGTCATGTCTGACATTCTGTGACCCTATTTGTGGTTCTTTGGCAAAGATACTGGAGTGGTTTGCCATTTCCTTCTCCAATTCATTTTACAGATAAAGAAACTGAGGCAAACAAGATTAAGTGATTTGACCAGGGTCTGGCACTCTATTCATCTAGCTGCCCACTTAGGATCATAAGATCATAAATTTATAACAGGAAAGAGACATTGGAGGTCATCTATTCCACCTCCCCTTCATTTTACAAATAAAGAAACTGAGGCCCAAAGATGTTTAGAGACTTGTCCACACTTGACCATACAAGATAGTAGAGCCAATATCTTCCGATTCTATCCCATGGCTGCCTCCCATAGATTGAATCAGCTGAATTTATAGTACAAGGTTTCCAATATAACTCATTTGGCCCCAAGTAGAAATTTAAATATTTTATTTATAAAAGCACATGCAAAAATTGAAGATTTCTTTATATTTATCATTTAACTTCCAAAACTGTAAAAAGTCAGGGAGCAGAATTTTTGCAAAACAAGAAAGATCACTATGTAAGTTTTCAGCCTGGGTAGGACGGAGAAAATTATTGTGGTAAATAAGATAATAGCCTTAAATAACGTATTTGCAAATGGATATCCCACTTTTTGTTTTGAGACTAACAATCCTTCCTTTTAGGAGGAACAGAGCTTCATGGGCTCCTCCCCTTCTTCCTTTGGAATCCTCCTCTATGTAGACATTCACTTCTTCTAGATACCATCCCCATATATAGTCATTATTTGGGGGTCACCTTCCTTTAAGATTCCTTAGCACATATAGTGTTTTGCCAGGAAGTTATTTTGGTGCAGTCCTGCCGAAAGGTTAGGGAATAGTCTAAGATTAATTGACTTCTGAAAATCCCTTCCAATCTTGTGATTTTTTTTTTTTTTGTCCTCCAACTGCTTTCCAAATGCTTAGTAATTCATCCTCTCTGTTGCAGTGAGGGTTAAGCAGTTGGGATGGTACACGGCATTCCTGAGATCTCGGCAAGAATGAACATCAGAGCCAAGATTAGGATTCGGGAACTTTCTACTTTTAGTTCCCAGTTCTAAATCATGACTCCTCCCTGTCTGCTAGAATTGAAGCTTTCATTAAGTTCCAGATTAATGGGACTAAATATCTTGAAACCCACATTTCCCAAATGTAGTTGATATTAATCGGGCCCATCTTCACAATCACTGTGAGTGAGATGAACATAGTTCATGTTCTCAGGCTTGCCAAGAAGAGGGCAGTCAGCCACTTGTTTATCTTGGCAGATTTCTTTGTCTGTGTGTGATTCCTTCTCTTCTTTCCTAAGGTCAAAGGATACCATTTCTACTGAGTTAAGAGGACTTTCTGAATCTGGTTGATCTTGGGTGCATTCTTTAGCTAATACCATGTAATTTAGGCCTTTCTTGTCCTTGGTTTTCATGGAAGCGATTAAAAGCATATCAGCTGAATCAGCATAAAACACATTACCATCTTCACCTATCGAAATTTTTTTGAAAGAATTCTGCTATTAATTTAGCACAGGGGAGGGAGGAAGTGTTACTCATTAGCCAGAAGATGTAAAAGCCAAGTTAGTACTTAAAGTAGTGCCATATTATTAAGTGGACAGTTACTTATATGGTATGGTTTAAAGTGCACTAAGAATGATCATAAAAATGATTGTGGAAAAACATGGAAAGACTTGCATGAAATAATGAAGAGTGAAATGAGCAGAACCAAGAGAACATTGTATACAGTAACAGTACTATTGTTTTAAGAATGACATTGAGCGAATAAGTCATTTTGATTATTATATATACAAATTAATTATAAGGACATATGAAGAAATAATCTATCTGCATCCAAAGAAAGAACTGATAAATAGAAGTTTGCATAGAATGATTTTACACACACACTTATACATACACACACACATACACACACACATATATATATATATACATATATGTATAATTGTTTCTATGGTAGCCATCTTTAGGGTTGGAGGGAGGGAAGAAAAAAAGAAAAAAAAGAAATTTATGTGATAATTTTGTTACATATTTAAAAGGAATAGTAAATTGTACATGATCCATTTGCAGTTTCATGTGCAATCATCTGTTTTTCATTCTACTATGTTATGGAAATGCTTGTTTTATTTCATAAATTAAAAATAAAATAAAATTTTTGAAAAAATAAAGTCCACTGAGAAGCCCCCACCCCCATCCAATACATCTCTCCCCTACCATCCCACCACAGTCTCAAACTCCCATCAAAAAGAAGCATTGCTTTGGATTAAGGCGTTGCCCTCTCTAGGAGTTCATTTTTTTTTTTTCAGGCAATTGGGGTTAAGTAACTTGCCCAGGGTCACACAGCTAGTAAGTGTCAAATGTTTGGTCTGAGGCTCAGTTTGAACTCAGGTCCTCCAGTGCTCTATCCACTGCGCCACCTAGCTGCCCCTGAGTTCATTTTTTTTTTAATGCAAATATATCCTGGCCTTAGCAACATATAAAACATATATAACATCATGTTGTTTAATTAATTAAGGGGAGCTAACCAAGTTAGTCCTTTTAAAAGATTTAGGAACAGGACATAGGCTAGATAAGTTCTGAAGGAATAGGATTGAAGAATACTGGGAGACTAGACCTGGACAGGGTGCTGTACTGAGGATTCCAGAGGAGCAAAAAATGACACCTGGTAGTTGGGTAGGTATAGACAATGTTACCTACCTCACATTTTTTTTCTGTGACTGATTTTAGCCCAGATTCACTAGTAGGTGTAAATTTTATATCACCTAGCACAGTGCTGTTTTTCAGTCATTTCAGTCATGTCTGACTCTTCGTGACCTCATTAGGGATTTTCTTAGCAAAGATACTGCAGTAGTTTGCCATTTCCTTCTCCAGTTCATTTTACACATGAAGAAACTAAGGCAAGCAGGGTTAAGTGACTTGTCCAGGGTCACACAGCTAGTAAATGTCTGAGGCTAGATTTGAACTCAGAAAGAAGAATCTTCCTGACTCCAGGCCTGGCACTCTATCCATTGAGCCACCCAGCTACGCACAGTGCTATGTACACAGTTGAAATTGAATTGAGATGGATATTGGGCTGGGTGACTCTATTCTTATATTAATATAATGATTTCTGTTAGAACAGGTGGTAGAGTTTTTATTACACACAGACTTCTGCAGTTTCAGTAAATTAAAAAGCTATTTGTTGAATGAATGAGTGAGAGAAGAAAATGGGGATAACTGACTTGGATCAATGTTTTCCTGCCTCTGATTTTCCTAACTAGACAAAGAAAGAAAAACAACTTACCATTTAAAAGAAGTGATGATCTCAAAGGTGATAGTCATTAAAAATCTGATAATCCTGCTAATATTGCAATAGGGAACAATTTGTTTGGTCTAGAGCAAACCATCTACCTACCTATTCTGGCCTCATTTTTCTCATCTCTGTAATGAAACAAGATGAACTCAAATAGAAACAGGAGCCAATAAATCATACATAAGGATCCCTGGGGGGGCTACATATTGACTTAGAAAACCACATGTTAACATTACCTATGTTTTGATGTATTTTTATTTGTTTTGTTAAATATTTCCCAATTACATTTTAATCTGGTTCAGGCCCACTCTGGAGTGTTGTGGACTCCACGGGCAGTTGTGTGTTGTGGTTTTTTTTTTTTTGGCTAGGCAATGGGGTTAAGTGACTTGCCCAGGGACACACAGCTAGGAAGTGTCATGTGTCTGAGGCCGGATTTGAACTCAGGTCCTGCTGTTCCCAGGGCCGGTACTCTATCCACTGCATCACCTAGCTGCCCGACCCACCCTCCCCACCCCCCGCCCATGGGCAGTTGTTTCTTTGACACTGCTCGATTAGATGATCTTTAAGGACTTTGAGATGCTATGATAGATAGCATCTTTTCTTTCTAACTACCTTCCCAGCATTTAGAACATCCAAAGGATACTTACTGTTCATTATTCTGCTCTACAATTCTGAATGTAATGAGTACCAACTTCCCCTTTCCAATGAAATAAAATGGAACTTTTTTTTAGAGCATGAAAAAATCATAGAGGAACGAAGAAATGACATCTTACCCTTCAATTTTCTAGTTAAGGCTCCAAATCTGAATAACAAACTCACTATAATACCAAAGGACTTGTTATTATCATCATTCTTCCATATCTTTATTCTTAGTAACAGGTTTCTTTTCCCCTCTATACACTGTGCCACCTAGCTGCCCCCCCCCCCTTATACACACACACACACACACACAACCCTCCTTCTTAGATTGTGATCTCCTTGAGGTCAGGGACTGTGTTTTGCCTCTTTTTTTTTTTTAAGGCAATTGGGGTTAAGTGATTTGCCCAAGGTCACACAGCTAGTAAGTGTCAAGTATTTGGTCTGAGGCCGGATTTGAACTCAGGTCCTCCTGACTTCAGGGCTGGTGCTCTATCCACCGCGCCACGTAGCTACCCCAGTTTTGCCTCTTTTTGTATTCTTAGTGCTCAGCACAGTGCCTGGCACATAGTAGGCACTTCATATATGTTTATTGACTGAGTGACTGACTACCCCAAAACATAGAAGGGGAAAAGAAAAGTCCAAAGTCAGGGGGACCTGAGTTCAAATCCAGCCTCAGACCAAACACTTGACACTTTCTAGCTGTGTGACCCTGAGCAAGTCACTTAACCCCAGTTGCCTAAAATAAATAAATAAATAAATAACATATTGAGAGAGAGAGAGAGAGAGACTCTACTTTCCAGGCAAAGCAGACTACTTGCTATTGCCCAATGTCAATTCCAGGTCAACTGCTACCTCCTCCAAGAACCATGCCATTCAGTTTAGACCTCTCATACCTTTATGTTAGGATTTGACTTCTACTAGATTGTGAATCCACACAGAGTTGCAAAGGACCTCTGAGGCTTCTGCTCCAACCTGTCCCTTTACAGCAATTTCGGCTATATCATGACCAGCAAGCGATTTTTCACCCTTCCAGTGACAGAAGACCCAATATTTGCTGGGATAGCCCAGCTTCTTGGAGCAACAGTCAATCCCCAGTGCTTAGCATAATATAAAGTACACAGAATAAGTATCTGACAACTTTTTAAAATTGCATTTCATTTTTATCCGTTGCATTTCCCCAACCATCAGAGTAGGGTATTTCAAGTAGTATGAATACTCATATTCAAATACTACAGAACAGAAGTATCAAATACACTTTCTGTAGGCCCATATGGCCAACACCACTCAAGTGCAACCTGAACTAGATTAAAATTTAATTGTGAAATACTGAACAAAGAAAACAAAAATATAATGGGACACAGATAATGTTAATATGTTGCTTTGCAAGTCAACATATATGGTTTAGTGGTTCCTTTTCTGTTTGAGTTTAAAACCACTGAGCTAGGATATTCCTACCTACTCCCCATACCACTGTTTAGTCAGCTGCCATGTCTAGCTGGTGCCACCTCACCTCTTATCCCTAAGTAACATTAGTTCAGTCCAATCTATTATCGTACTTACATAATTGTCAAAATATGCATCATGGTACACAAGAAAGAATGCTATATTGGGAGTTAAAGAACCTCGGTTTAATTTCTGGCTCTACCTCTTACTACTTGTATGATCTTTGGCAATTATTTAACCTCTCTAGGTCTTCATTTCTTGATCTGTAAAATTAGGGGGTTGGTATATTTGAAAAACAAGGTCTTTTCTAGTCCTAAACTGATGATTTGGTGTAATTAGAGTAATTTAAATAAAGATTCAAGAGTAATTTGGTAATACGGTGTAAACAGTATAATACATAGGAAATCATCAGGAGAAGTAAGGGAAGAAAGTTCCCAGGGTCCCAGGGTCAGAAAGCAGAAAGACTATTCTTTAAAAAAATAGGATTGGACATGAAGAAAGATGGAATTTTGAAGACAAGCTTGCAATGCAACATATTTTTGCAAATTAGCTATTTGTTGATATAGCATTAGTCAATGTGAGAAGAATTAATAAAGCTGGAGAAATTTCTTACAGCAAAAGTTCTTAGCCTGGGAAAAATGCATTTTTTTAAAATAAATCTTGTATTTCCTTTGTAACCTATGTATTTTATTTTATGCATTTGAAAACCTTATTCCAAGAAGGGGTCCACAGGTTTCACTAGACTGCCAAAAGGGTCCATGACACAAAGAAAGGTTAAGAAAAGGAGATTAAAACACTCTAATACTGGACATGGAAGGAAAACCATTAGCTAACCACTTCATGGGTTCAGAGTGCTTGCACCAACATTGGTAATTCAACCCCAGCAAAGCTTTCAGCAATCAGCATTGCTCCTCATTGCACAAAGAGTTGGAGAGGCATTTTCTTCCCCTTATTCTCCCTGCCCTTCCCCCTTTTTTCTCTTTTCTTTCCCTTAAATCCACTTCATAGAAAGTCTGCAGGTCAAGTTGCCTTATAAAAAGATGTTCTGACCAAAGGCTGAATGTACTTCTGGAGTCCATGCCTAAGAGGGAAATATCAAAATAAAGACTTCCAAGTAACCCTGGA